TTCTACTCACAAATGTGAAGAATATTGCTTAGTTCCCTTCTAAGTAAATTATGCTAAATAAGATAAAGTTCTTTCCTTAGAACTCAACTATAAATTTATAAAACACCTCCTTCCTAGCCTTTCATTCATTAAATGAGTAACTACTATTGGCCTGTGAGCCTGGCTATGCGTGTGCTAAGGCTGCATTGGATTCTCGTGTTCTAGCTTCTGTGTGCATCAAATGCCCTTCTCTGAAATGTCTCTAAGAGGCTTCCTTCTCTAAAGTGAGTTAGATTTATCTTTCACTTTTACACAATTATGAAACAAAAACCCACAAGGAAGACTAAGCAAATAAGCAAATAATCAGATCTCAGTTTCCTCTCACACCTTACCTTGCATACTCTCCAGCAGAAACTTTGGAGAGTCAGCAACTCTCGGGATATTAACATATCTAGGGGTCAGTCATCCCTAAAGCTTAAAACTTGATGGCTTGCAAGTGAGAAATTAAAAGTCTAGTTCTAAGAGATCAAATTCAAATGTGGGTAGAAGCTATGATGGGTAAATTTTTCATACAGCATGAAATGACACTGTTGTGTTTTTTACATGGTGAAAATGGCACTCAGCCGGGCACTGGTGGCTCTGTAATCCTAGCTACTCAGGAGGCTGAGGATCGTGGTTCAAAGCCAGCCCAGGCAGGAAAGTCTGTGAGACTCTTATCTCCAGAAAACCAGAAGTGGTGCTGTAGATTAAGTGGTAGAGTACTTGCCTTGAGCTGAAGAGCTTGAGGGACATTGCCCAGGCCTAGAGTTCAAGAAAAAAGAAAATAAGAAAATAGAGTATGTTGCTTTGGTAGTTAGTGAGCACCTTGACAGTGAGCATGCTCAGAACAGACTTAATAACTGTTGCCCACTCAGCAGAGGAGAGTCCTGCTTTTTGAATGAAATGTTTCTGCCTGTGAGAATCGTTGTTCCCAGTGCAGTTTACCACGTGTACACAGGGACGGTCAGATTTATATTTTTCCCTCCTAACATGTATTATAATTTCTCATCCTGCTGTCTTGGTAATTGTAACTCTCTAATGGATTCCACACAGGTAGACTATTATACAGATTTTTTTTATGTGATAGCCTTCTTTCTCTCCAGCTGCATGAAATTTTGGGAATTTGTATGTTAATAAATTTAAGCTGGGACCAAGATACTGCCCTTCTCTACTTATATTCCTGAACTAAGCCATCCTATTAGACTTGCTTATAAGTTTCTACTTTGTAGATTTTCAGTTTTAACTTACTAGGCACCATTTTAGAAAAAATAAAAAAATATTCCCTCCTATTCCTATAGAATTATTTTCTTAGTTACAAAAAAAAGTACTTTCACACTTTTGAGGGTACATATAGTGGTGCTTGTTTTCAGAACTTGTGTTCAAAATTAGGTCCTAAAATCCCCGGACAGTTGGCTGAGCACTGCTCATAGTGAAGTGGAGCATGGCAGTTAACCTTCTTCTCTGCTTCAGTTCTCTCAGCTACTTGAAGAGAAAAATACCCTCTCCATCCAGCTCTGCAATACCAGCCAAAGTCTCCGGGAGAACCAGCAGCACTGTAGTAACCTCTTTAACCACTGTACAGCCTTGGAGAAACAGGTGCAAGAGCTGCAGGCGGTGAGTCAGGAGCCAGTAAGAAGATGGGAAAGAGTGTTGGGAAACACACAGAGCAGCAGGGAGAGGCTTCTGTGAGGAAGTACGATGGAAGTAGGAGAGAAAGGAAACTATTAATGGAATAAGAAGAAAGCCCAAGAACAGTTACAGAGTGAGAGATCAGGAGAAAAGACATCAGTGAAATGTTGGGAGGTAAAACGTGGGAAGCAGATGACAGGCTTTTGGAACTCAGAAATTAAAGTATGGGGTTTGCTTTAAGAATTAAGATGGCTGGGAAGGTGGCTCAGTGGTAGAGTGCTTGCCTCAAATGCATAAGTCCCTGGGTTTGATTCCTCAGCACCACATAAGCAGAAAAAGCAGCAAGTGGCGCTGTGGTTCAAGTAGTAGAGCACTAGCCTTGAGCTAAAGAGCTGAGGGTCAGAGCCCAAGCCCAGAGTTCAGGCCCCATGACTGACAAAAAAAAAAAAAGAGTATAGGAGGATTTGAAACCAAGAGACAAAAATAGGCCAGGCTGTTTTGTGTTTGCCTGTTGGGATGTGAGGTGAGAATTGGTGGTGATGTCACCATGGAAGAAAATGGTAGCTTAGAAGGATAAAATCATTCCTTGGAATGCCTTAAGCCCCATGAGGTGAAAATAGTTTCATGGGAAGGCGTTAAATGTTTAAGAGGAAAAATACAAGAGTGAGAATTGAGGGAAAAGCTTTTGTGGAGGTGACTATTCCATAAGAGCAGAAGATTATTATTTCTAAAGCTGGCCTTAAGTCTTAAGTGGAAATCCTCCTCTTCAAGATGTCTCATTTTCTCTGATGCTAAACAGGTTTATATTTTGTCCAAGTGTAGTATCAAAAGAGCTTTCATCAGCTATATTATTAGGCTGCTGCTTCTTCTAGGTGTCACCCAGTGTGGATGTTGCTCCAGGAGCTCCCCAGGAAAAGAATGGAGTTTACAGAAAGAGTGAGCCTGAGGAAATGAAGGAGCCACCGCAAAGGTAGGAAAACAAGACTCCTCTCCAGCACATACCACAGGTTCCGAAAGTGGGTGCTAATCTCCATGGAGCTGAAATATACCATATGGATTTAATGACTTACTATCTTGCTGGCCTCACAAAAGTGAGGGATGGAGAAAATAATAACAGTAATAACAACCGTGTGTGTGAAACATTTATAAAGCAACTGGTTGAGAGAATGGCTTAGGTAGTAGAGCACCTGCCTAGCAAGTGCAGGATTCAAACCCTAGTACCACTAAAAAAAAAAAAAAAGCCATTAGTACTAACATACACATATCACTAACCAAGTACTTAAGTGAAAGTTTTTGTTTTTTGTTTTTTTTTCGGTCATGGGGCCTGAACTCTGGGCCTGGGTGCTGTCCCTAAGCTCTTCAGCTCAAGGCTAGCACTTAGCATGTGAGCCACAGCACCACTTCCAGTTTTCTGGTGGTTTATTGGAGATAAGTGTCTCACAGACTTCCCAGGCTGGCTTTGAACCGTAACCCTCAGATCTCAGCCTCCTGAGTAGCTAGTATTACAGGCCACTAGCACCTGGCCACAGTTATACTTTTAAGAAAGTTTGTTTATTTGTGAGATTTTTGTTTTGTGGGGTTTTTTTGCCAGTCATGGGGCTTGAACTCTGGGCCTGGGTGTTGTCCCTAAGCTCTTCAGCTCAAGGCTAGCACTCTACCACTTGAGCCACAGCACCACTTTCACTTTTCTGGTGGTTTATTGGAGAAAAGAGTCTCATGGACTTTCTTGCCTGAGCTGGCTTTGAACTGCGATCCTACATCTCAGCCTCCTGAGTAGCTAGATTACAAGCATGAGCCACCAACACCCGACATAAGAAAGTATTTGTTTTTAAGGAAGTGACTAAACTTTCCTGCTTTATAACTTTAGGAAGTCTGGTATTGGTAACTATGTTCTGTGTCTAGTGATGCTGTTTGTTTTCTTATCCTAAAGCTTTTCTGAAGCCCCACAGCAACTTTGCAACACTAAGCAAGAAGTGAATGAATTAAGGAAGTTGCTGGAAGAAGAACGAGACCAAAGAATGGCTGCTGAGAATGCACTCTCTGTGGCAGAGGAGCAGATCAGGCGGTAAGGCTGAGGGAGACAACCTCTTCACTTCTGAAACCACTTCATTGCTTCACTTCTGAATCCACTTCAGTTCATTTCCCATAGAAATGAACTGGTTCTTACTCCCCATGAGATTGGAGGCTGCAGTGAGTTCAGGGTAATTGTGGCCACCCAAAAACACAGTACTTTTGGAGTATAGGTGGTCCATCCTTTCAAAAGCAGTAGTTCATAGAGATAATAATAATGATGTCTGCTGATTATATGATACAAAATAAACTGTGAAAAAACTTCTTTCATCCAGGCAATAACTATCTGAGGTGGGAATTGGGTTCTTTAGAAGATCAAGTAAATGATAATCCCATTACCTATCTGGGAGCTGAATCAATGAAAATCTTCAAATTGAAACCTTTGGAAGATTAAAATAGCACTTTATAAATACACACACACACACACACACCACACACACAGTGCCAGTACTGAGGCTTAAGCTCAGGACCTTGCACCCTTGCTCACTCTACCATTTGCACCATACCTCCACATCCAGCTTTTTTGCCAGTAATTGGCCAGGGGAATGCCTTACCTTGCCAGAAGAGTCTACTTCTGCCAGACTAGGACAACAGTAATGTTGGGCAGTTTGCCCCATGTGAGACTTGGAAGGAGAGGACTACACATCCCTCTTATGCCCAGCTCACAAGTCAAGACAATTACCATGCATGACAGAGTACAGTGGTTACAAGAGCTTTGCTGATGGAAAGAAACATTAAAAGCAGGCCCTTCTGTTATGTCTGGGGGGAAGCTACCTACATGTATTGTCCCTTCCCTCAGAGAATGAATTTCAAGTAGTAACGCCTTCTTGCAATCCTTAGGTGGCAGAGATCACAGCCCCAGGAAGCAGGTAGTCTTTGACATCCCTTTCCTTCTCTACCCAGCATGTTTGTTCATGCCTCTGTCATCTTCAATGCCCTTTTGACCCTTGCGGAGTACAAAATAGTTTGGTGTTGTGTCTGATTCCGTGCCACTTGCTGTGGATTTATTTAGACCTGTGAAACCTGGCCCTTGGGGAGGGGGAAAGTTAATCACCCACAAGTATCATTAGCCTGGTCTGAACCAACTGGAGACTGTGAAGTGCAGAATGACTTAGAGCCTGTGGCTGAGCTACATTAAGCCAAGCTGAGCCCCTCCATAATTCTCTTTGTTGTATGTGGAACTTAGTGGTCTTGTAGTTTAAAAGTAACTAGTATGTGTGCCTCATCAGTGCCTATGACATCCCATCTTCCTCAACCCAATCTATAGAACTAGACAGACTGACCTCTGTAGTACCAGACCCTGCCATACCAGATGCACATGAAGGAAGAGACATAGCAGCTGTATTAGGCAAGCAGCTGGTGGGAGAAAGCTAGACTCTTCATGTTCAAGTTCTCTTTCTAGTCTCACGGGTCAGATTAAGGATTCCTTTTCTCCTGGAGATGACCTACAAAGAGAAGAAGCTTGGAGATTTAGAGATCCAGTCAGGAAGAATACACATGAAGAGAAGAGATCTCGAAGAGTCCATCCTCTCCAGTTAAAAAAATATATCCCTTTGGGCTGGGAAGGTGGCTCAGTGGTAGAGTGCTTGCCTCAAATGCATGAGGCCCTTGGTTCGATTCCTCAGTACCACATAAGCAGAAAAAGCCAGAAGTGGCACTGTGGCTCTAGTGGTAGACCGCTATCCTTGAGCTGAAGAGCTGAGGAACAGCACCCAGGCCCAGAGTTCAAGCCCCACGACCAACAAAAATAAAATAAAATACATCCCTGTAGGCAAATACTTGATCAACTGTGCCTTTGCCTTAGTTTTTATTTATTTTTTTATTTATTGTGAAATTACTGTATAGAGGGGTTACAATTACATGGTTTTTATTTTTGTCAGTCTATTGAAGAAACACAAGAAATAACTGCTTCTTTATTAAATGGAAAATTTCTAGTATGAAATAAGCAAATCAACAAAAAGTGAAGTATCAGGCAACAAATAATCAGTTTCATTCTAAGAATCCTACAGAAATTGTTCTTGTGTGTTTTTGCCTGTTAGTCTCTAAAAATATTAGTGCTGGGTGTGTATGCCAGCACTTGGGTGAATGAGGCAGTAAGATCATGGTTTAGAGGCCAGTCTAGGCCTCAGAAATCTCCTCTCATAAAACCTGACACACTACTAATAATAATTAAAATGGTGAGTTTCCCTTGAGTCTGATATTGTGGAAAAAGAACATGAGAGATAAAGACAAATGAAATACCAGATTCTGGTTCCACTGTTTGCTGATTGTATACCCGTGGCAGTTAATGTCACCCTTACTACTATGTGAGACAGGGACTGGAGAAGCAGCTTTGCCACGATTCCTCTGCATCACTTCTCTAAGGCAGTGATGTCCCCTGACCGCCCATCCCACCATGCTGAGAACCCATGCTGTGCCTCTCTTTCTTTCTCAACACAGGTTGGAGCACGATTGGGACTCTGCTCGTACCCCTATCATCGGCTCCTGTGGCACTCAGGAACAGGCACTGTTAATAGATCTTACAAGCAGCAGCTGTCGAAGGGTAAGAAGAGAAAGATATAGAAAAGGTTCTAGGAGTAGAATTAGTCAAAACATACAGAAGCCTAGCCACAGAGCTGTGATGGGAGGGTGCAGAAGAATGGAAGAACCTGGCTGATTTGCAGGTTGACTCTAGAATCCCCATGATGCCTTTCTTGTGCAGTGGTGAAATGAGCTTTACTTAAATGAGGGATTATGGGGGAGGGAAAGGGATACATCCCTCTAGGGTGAAATACTGACATCCAAATTTTTCTTTCAGACCCGGAGTGGTGCTGGATGGAAACGAGTCCTGCGTTCACTGTGCCATTCCCGGACCCGAGTGCCAATGCTGGCAGCCATCTACTTTATAATGGTTCATGTCCTACTCATTCTGTGTTTCACCGGTCATTTATAAACTTAGTTGTCACCATTTGGACCACCCCTCTCAGAACTTGGAATTCCCTCACATCTAATGTCAAAACTGTCAATTCCAATGGAACAGTCTTCCCAAGTACAGATCATCTTCTCCAACTTTCCATGGAAAGTGCCTGCAAAAACAAGCTGCTGTGAGGACAGGTTCAAGCTTCCACCGACTTGCCCAGGCCCTGAACACTTCTGCTGAATTTGAGAAGCCTCACAGTTAGTTTGCTGAGCCCAGCATTTGTTCAGATTTTGCAGGTCCTCATCTTTCATGGTCCTGTAAGGTATTGACACATGTTTCTACCAAGCCAAGAGGATGGTTCCAATAAATCAACAGTCTGAAGTTCAGTATCATTTTGATGAATAACTTTCTGTGCCTCACTACTTACTTTTCTCCTGCTCCGGGAGGAAGGTAAACAGTTGTGGGAAATGAACACATCACCTCATAGGACATGTGTCCAGGTTTCTTTCAAAGGATGGGAACTGGATCTCTTTGGGGGGTTAACTTTTGGACCACGAGGAAGGGTAGAATCTTCCTTTCTGTTCTGACTACCCCAGAGTGTTTTTGGTTTTGGACAGTGAAGAAGGACAATTGGCATATGCCCTTGACCACAGGTAGACTAAGTTATTAAGTGGCTGGTGCCTGTCCTGTCACTGAAAAGACAGCTGTGGACTGGGTTAGATTCATGTCATTCCTGTTATCTGGGTATACCTCCATATGTATCTGAGTCAGTGTCAGAAGCCAGCAGGAGCCGGTCCAAGCTGGGGTATTGACCCTCAGCTGGAGTCTGATCTAATGACCACACTGCAACTCCTGGCCTCAGGAAGCACTGAAGCTACTATGCTGTTGGCAGTAGTTTATTCTGGCTTCTCACCCCATAGTTACTACCCTCTCTGGGAACAGACAAATGGACAAAAATAGAGAAAACAAATCGAGACCTGAGAACAAGAGCCAGGAGTGAATTCCACTGTGCCTATTTTCCATTTCCTCCCCTTGCTAGTTGGATGTTTTTTCATTACACCACCTAAGGAAGAGGGAGGACAGGTGGGCTAACTGATCTGCTCCAAGTCTTTGGGTTGTGGTGATTAAGTCTGGGTTACAGTAACTTTCTGAACTACTGTAAAATAATAAAACTATTTTCAGAGTAATAAATTGGGTGTATAAATGTGTATAGGTGTGTGATTTTTATGTGTGCACAGGTACACAGGCAAGAGAAGACAAGGGTTGGGGTAGGAGTAGCTGTGAGTATCCTAGCCTTACCTACTGGACCCCATGGGGCTAAAGCATAGTGAAGAAATTCTATTCTAAGGCTGAATTGGTCTTGGGGTACAAAATGAATGCAGGCTCATATGTAGTCCTGGGAGAACTACAGAAATATTAGGCCCTTAGAGATCCCTTCAGGTAGAAACAGGTTAAGGGAAATTTAAAACCACATAGATTGGGTAAGCATGTTTTTATGTTAAAATGCTACTTGGGAAAAGATAGCCCACATTCTATAGGCACATGAAGTGGATTATTGAACCCAACCAATGTGGTTTCAAGCCTGTTCTTCATACTACCCCTTACTATCTCAAGTTAAATTAACTTGGGACACTTGCAAAGGAGAAATATTTCCTTGATGTCATCTCTAAGTTGTGTGGTTTCTCCAGGGGACTGCCTTCCTGGATGGTATGTCACAGTATCCAGTCTAACAATTCCAGTTTTGACACTGTTAGGATTTCAAGTGAGCTAAAAGATACTTTTTCCTTTCTGTAAATTCATTGTTCTTTAAAATGGCTTTTATAATGTTATAAGTAGATCATGAAAAGAGAACAGATAAACTGCTCCAGGTACAGCATCCTTGGATTTGGAAGTGATCTTTAGAAGCTTTCTATTCCTAATGTAAAAATGTTCTGTATGGTGGGCTGATTTCATCCAGTTCTGCTTGAACCTCTTGAGCAAATCAGATCAAAACTCTACAGGCAGTCAAGATAAGGAGAAACTGAGTCAGATCCAGTAACAAACATCCCTCCTTCCAAAATAAATTCTTATTAGCTAAAACAACAAAAGATTATTTCTCAAAGATGCCAAGTCCCTCATGTCATAATTGGAGCTTTTACTTGTACTGATTATTTGTCACTTAAGCCCTCAGTCTGCCAGTGGAGCCACTGGAGAATTGTAGGGAGGTGAGTCAGCATCACACAGTTTCCCATGGAAGGTCATGAAGGAGAGGGATGTATTTCGCTGGCCAAAACAAATCACCCAAGCAAGTTAAAGCTGGAAAGGAAGGGCAGCAAATTTTTTTTTAGATGTAAAATATTTTATTTGTAAATGGTGATCTTCTAAATCTGTGTCCACAAATTCCAAAACCCATAACACTCTGTATACTTCAAAAAAATCTATTTTTGCCAACATTAGATACTATTACACAGAACAGAAACAAAACCTGGGAGGACAAATACTGGTAGGATGTCAAAATTTATACAAGAGAAGAAAAATATCCAAGAAACAAATTTCATACAGCTATTTATCAAGAGAAAAATATATACAATTGATTTATTCTGTAAGATAAAAATACAACATGCCATATACATTACAGGTTCTGAACTGCATCACTGGCTGTACCGACAGCTCACAGCAAATCTTAACCAGCAGTTTATTAGACACCACAAAGAACTACTATCGGCTGATAACATCTGGTTCTTTCATCATTCTTCTATCTGGAACCAAATCTTTCTACCAGTGAACTCATGGCTCCTAAGCAATTTAGGAACCTTTCTCCATGCTTGCCCCTCATGAGTTATTCTTTCCCCTCATTCAACTGATCAGTACGTATATTGTCACCAACCATATGTAAACCTCACTTGGAATGTACAAGTGTTTGTTTTTAGGCTTACTTCTCAAGGTTATAGGATTCAGTTTTCCCATAAAGCCTTTTCTTGTTTACTATAGCCCATAGGAACAGTTTTAACTTCATTATCACAAATACAACTACTCACCTCATCTGTTTGGGATTTTTGAGTCTTACTCCAGAACAATAGCTAGGGTGTTTTCTGGTTGGATGTTTGTTGTTCTGACAAAATTACAAAGCTGAGATTCCCCTAAGACATAAAATCTTGCAAAAGACTAAAGCCAAATACATTTAACTCTTCTGCCTGAAGCAGAAGGAACTGACTCAAACTTCAGGAAGTAATTGTGAGGACAGGGTGGCAGGAAATGACAGAAAACCTGAATACGGAACTGAAGCAGTTGTTTGGAGTTTTTTTGCTCTCAAGTAGCAGCAGCCAGAAAGAGGGTACTGGGTGTGGACGTGAAGAGCTGAGAACTTCAAACCAACACTCAACAGCTCACACTACCAGAGGTGAGTACTCCGGAGGGGCAAAATGGAACACAGGATAAGAATGGAAGAGGAACCTAGCTTGTACTTGGTCCTGGAGGGAAAAGGTCATTGCTAGTAGGCTTTTATCTCTTGATGCTCAAAAGGCCTGGATTCAATGTTGAGAAATGACTTCAGGGATGGAAAGAGAGGGGAAGATCCTGAACCCTGATTTCACAAGTAAGCAGTTCTCTCAAGAATCAGCCAGCAACACATAACCTGTTTTTTTCTGATAATCCACACAGGCCACTAAGAGCTGCTGCTCCTAGGCACTGAGGTGGAAGGAACCGTATAGCGCATGCAGGCAAAGACTTCATTTGACAGTCTAGCAGGGAGACAGCCCACAGAGTAAATGTCACAGCCGGAAGCAGCCACAAATGAACATGAGTGCTGAGAACCCAAGGCTGATTGGGGTCAGTGCAGCCATGATTGTTTAGCTGGGGCTATTTTCTGTGACTGCAATTACAAATCTCAGAGTACAATCAATAAAACAGACTATGGGCTAGTTAGGTTAATCACATAACATTGAAATCAAAGAAGAGGTGATTTGCCAACTTGTTTCAGTAAAGATTTGTGAACTGGCCACTCACAAAGGAGTACCTACTCTGCCACTTCCCTTAGTGTGACTCCACAGAGTCTTAGTAAGGAACAGAGCTTGGTGGCCATGGGTTTTTTGACTCCCAGTTTGTGTACTGTACTGATGCTGTAAATCAGCCTCACCACAAGCCCTTGAATGTGCCCAGAACCATGCCTCATAGATGATTCTCTAGCTTTTCACCTCTGATTAGCAAGAATGCCTTCCTGATTGCAAGTCAGTAGGAAAAGAATACTAAACTGTCTCTGTGTCAGAAAACTTTCTGTGATTTTGTTTTTTAATGAGTGAAGGTGAAAGGTTGGTGGGAGAGTCAGGTTTTGTAACTCAAGGAAGAATCATGAGGCCCCTGAGCCTCGTTGCTTCCTTATAGCTTGTGAATATATCTTAGACTTCTCCTTTCTGATTTTCTGTGTAAAGTGCTTTTGCTCAGGAGCCAGGGCAGGACAGACAGAGGGGCTGTAAAGATATGGACTACAAGTCTGTGTGCCTGTCTCAATATCCCACCCATAGCTGCTGTTCAACATGAAAGTCAGAGATGCTCTCCTTAGTGACTTAGTCCACTGGGTAAACTCATTCAACACTTTGCCAGTTTTCCTTTAGCACCTCTTTTACCTTGAATTTCCTCTGGGAGAGGTTTCAAGGAATTATTCAAAAGGTAAAGAGAAGAATGGCATTTCCAAGAAATAGAAACTGGAGACTTAGTACTGACAGGATAGCCCAAGGAGTGGTTGTAAAAGGGCCCCTTTGGGAAAGAGGAGCCTGGGAAAGATTCCTTTGGGGAAAAGTGGCTAGGGGAATTGTAGTATCTGGATCATGAAATCCAGTGGCCACCAGGCAGATGAGCACTGGTCCATTATTACCTTCTCACACCAGAATCCAAGAGCCTACAGAAGCAGAGCAACTGGGAAGCTCTTCCTCATACACCATTAACACAGATGCCCAGCAGAATAACAGCTTGGCATCTTCAAACTAGTTCTCCAACTATCCCCTTAACATTTATTTTGTTGATAAAAGTCAAATACTTCATCATGTAAAAAAATAGGGATTATGCCAGTTTTGACCACATCTTCATGAGAAATATAACAACTGCTTTTAAGATAGGAGTGATAAATGACTTCTCAGTCAATAGTGCTTTCTCATGCCTTGTTGATAAAGGAATTTCAGCAAATTGTCCCTGCTGACTACCCATAGCTGTCAGAGATCAGCTTTAGAGTGGGTTGTGAGAGTTGAAAGAATTCTGCATATAATTAAGCAGATACTAGGCAAGAGAGAGATGTTCACTTTGCCAGGAACTAGGCCAATGCATGTTTGGCAGCTCTGAAAATATTCCCATTTAGTCATATGAGTTAAATATCATCATCATCTATAGCTGTTATAGTACTTCTCATTGTTTGCCACCCAAAAGACATCACATGTCTAGCCTCTGGACACAAGTGAATGTTGCCAGCAGTTTTCTCATCCAAGTCATTTACTATTACCTCAACTCACGAGCTCTCCTCTCCAGACTCAGACAACCAGAGGCCACATTCATTTTTCTTAAGTAAACCCCTCTTCTAACTGAGTAGAATTAAAAAATTTAAACCTATTTGCTCTGTCTCATCTCCCTTTTCTAAGGAAAAAATGTCAATAAACTTTAGACTACTCTAACATCCATTTCCACTTTCTTATTTTCCCATTTCTTGTTTGTTTTTGGTCTCCAACAATTTCCAATTCCTGTCGCTCTCAGATGTGGAAGTCTGTAGTGGGGCATGATGTATCTGTTTCCATGGAGGCCCAGGGTGATGACTGGGACACAGACCCTGACTTTGTGGTGAGTATGGAAGTAACTGTGCTTAGACAAACAAGAGGGTACATGGGAAGGGCATTTGTGCCTCTCTGTGACCGGTTAGGGGGCTCAGAAAAGGACCATTTGGACCTGAGATAGTCATCACACAAGGATGGATGGGCAGTCATGAGTGGGGTATGCATGAGAGCTGGTGTTCAAGACCCAGGGGTGGAGGGAACAGGGGTAGATATGCTTGACAGTATGACTGATGAATGATGAACTATGCAGATTATGCTGAAGTTGAGAAGCAGGTAAACCTGGATCTCCTCCAGTCTCTGATCCAGGCTTGGGCTAGACATGTATGATATAAGTGGGTTGAGATGTTGTAGACCTGAAGGGGTAAGAGGAAAGGATTCAGAGTAGTGATGGTGATATGTAAAGAGTTCATCTGTATAATTTCCATCTGGGTTTGGATGGAGTAAACATCTATGACTGAGAGGCATTTGATGCAGGGGACAGGAAGAACATGCCTGTCAATTGTGTGACTCCACTCAGTGTGGCATATTTCTTGCCAACACATTGTTGAATGATGTTTGGGTTTTGTTTTGTTTTTTTAGAATGACATCTCAGAGAAGGAGCAACGATGGGGAGCCAAGACCATTGAAGGTTCTGGACGTACAGAGCACATCAAGTAAGTCCCAAAAGGACTGATAGAAGAGAGTGGGTTAAAAGCCAAAGACAACTCAGGGACTCAGGAGTATGTGGAAGGAAAAGGAGGGAATGCTCATATCTGTGCATCTTGGTGTTTGTTTCTAGATTTTGTGTGCCTAAGTGTGTTATCATTAATTTCCATTTTATGTCTATCATCTTATCTCCTATTACTTTTATATCTGACAACTCTATTTCCTCAGGGCAATCTGTTGTATTACCTACTTCCCTTCCTTTAGTCAGGGAAGTAGAATTCAGATAGGAAGTGGTTGAGATAATGAGTTCTCTCTCTCTCTCTAGCTACCTACCTACAATTTACCAATCATCTATATAGCTGTCATTCATATGTCTCTTCACATAAATATAAACATATATTTATAAAGTAGGATAACTTCAGATGGACTCATATAAATGCTGTAAATTTTTCTTGGCTTTTAAATTTTCCTTTCAAACTTCTTAACAGAAGTTTGAAGCTATTATTATTAAGAAGAAGAAATGTGCAATTTGAACATTTTATTAGTTAAAATATTTTAGAGAGTCAAGCATTGGTGGCTTGTCTCTGTAATCCTAGCTGTTAAAGAGGCTGAGACCTGAGGATCATGGTTTGAAGGGTTTGAAATCAGACGACAAAAAAGTCCTTAAGTCTCCATCCCTGAAACATCCAGCAAAAACCAGACTGGAGCCATGTCTCAAATGGCAGAGCACCAGCTGAGTAAACAAGCCTAGCAAGATTATGGCTCAGTATTCATTTTGTCAGAAACCATCTCTACCTGATACCAGGGGCTTCTGTGGGATATATTGTATATTTGAAACTCAAGATCTCTTTCTCTCTTCTCTGGATTATTGAGGATAACCTAATCTTTGCTTTGGGTAGTATCAGAATGTCAAATACTCATAACACAGTAAATGATATAGAACTAGAGAAAAAATTCAAACTAAAGTATCAATCACTCCACATAAATGGCAAAATCAGTGCAGGTTTATCTCATTTGTTGTTGTTGTTGTTGCCTGTATTGGGGTTTGAACTCAGGGCCTCATGCTTCTGCTTAGATTATTCACTCAGAGCTAACACTCTGCCACTTGAGCTACACCTCCAGTTCTTTTTTGGGGGGGGAGGGTCCAGTCGTGGGGCCTGCACTCTGAGCCTAGGTGCTGTCCCTCAGCTCTTAGCTCAAGGCTAGCGCTCTATCACTTGAGCCACAGTGCCACTTCCAGCTTTTTTCTTTTTGCTTATGTGGTGCTGAGGAATCGAACCCAGGGCCTGAGGCATGCAAGGCAAGTGCTCTACCACTGCGCCACCTTTCCAGCCCCATACACCTCCAGTTCTTTAACATAGTTTTTTTTAAGATCCGTTTTAATCCAACACATAGTTATGCAACTCTAACAGCAATGACTTAGCCTCTTTTTCATCTGGATTTTAAGAAGTTTCGGAGTATGGCCACTTTGCACAAATAGTGAAATAAGAAAATATGAGACATGTATATGAAGATTGAAGATATTCAGTACTGTGCATGGTTGTTTAATCAGATATAAACAACTTGAATGACATAACTAGAGTCATACTTACACCAAGTAATCTGGAATCATTGTAAATAAGCGGGGGGGGGGGGAAAGACAAGATAAAAAGAAAAAGAACATGATCTGTCAGAAAACTTGGTGTTTTTGTTGTTGTTTTCTTTCATTTTTAATTTTTTAAGATTGTGTCTCACTATGT